CATCATTGCTCCTTCACACCACGGAGAGGTCCTGGACAGCAGATGTTCCCAACGCAGCATGTGTCAGTTTCTTAACTGCTGCTATCTACGGCGTTGACTGTGGATCCAAGCAAGATGAAATTACTGACAGCTTCAGTCTTTGGTCTGTCATGCAGTCGACCCAGTGGTGTGGGTTTTTTGTCTTCTTGATGTTGAAATATAATCCATATTGAAGGCTGTAGTCTTTGATCTGCAGCAAGTGTTTCAGGTGTGTCATCGCCATAATGCAGGTTGTTGATGTGACTTCCTTCGATTCTAGTGTCATATTCTTGATAAAGTCCAACCTCCTGAATGATTTGCTCAGCATACAGGTATAGAGAAAGAATGCAGCCCTGACACACGCCTTTCTTGATTTTAAACCATGCAGCGTTCCTTCATACCACAGCGTTTTGGTCTAGGTAAAGGTTTCACATGAGCACAATTAAATGTTCTGGGATGCCTGTTCTTCTCAGTGCTAGCCATAATTTCTTAAGATCCACGTGGTCAAAAATGCCTTTGTATAGTCAATAAAACACAAACAGATATCCTTCTGTTACTCTCTGTCTTCAGCCAGGATCCATCTGACATCAACAATAATATCCCTGGTGCCACGGCCTCTTCTAAATCCAGCTTGAATTTCTGGCAGTTCTCTGTCAGTGTATTCTTCTAGCCATATTCTGCCCCGTATCTTGTAGAGTTTGCTACTCTTCATAAGGTTTTCAGAAGATAAAGACAGCCTTCTGCCTAATTTGTCCTACTTTAGAAGTTACAGTGAAAATGGTCCACCATGGGTAATCTTGCTGGTATTTGGAGTCCCAGTTGCATAACTTCCATCATCAGAGTGGTATGCATGCTGTCACAGTATTACAAACTGACAAATGGTGGCAAAGCAGGAAGGTATGGGGGGGGGGGCGTTAAACCAGAGCAAGAAGATGTGTGTGCCTCTTCACATAAGACGCTAGTCAACAGAGTCCTCTCCATCTGCTGGATTCTAAGGCTTTTTGTATTCCCGCAGTGTCTAAGGAATTGTGAGAAACAGAAAGATGTTTTATCAACACCAGTATTGATTGTACTCTTATTTGTTTACACAGTTGTCTTCTGCGTAGAGAATATATAAATTTCAACTTTTCCCTCTGTTATTTATTCCAAACTTGTGGCTGGGTTTGATGACTTTCCGACATGGGAATATCTCATTTGTGAGGAAGGACCTTTTACAAGGAATCTGTTTAGAAAGCATTTTTAATGTGTTGTTTGCTTAATCAAATAAGTACACATTTTCAGATGTGCTTTTCAGCGTCATGCAGACTTAAATCATGGAAAGAACTCCTATTCATTGAACTGTCGTCATTAAAGGCAAGGAAATAGACATTGAATAAATGGAAATGGAATAATCAATAGAGTTTTAATAAAAGGAATGGGAAGTAATTATGTAATACATTTGAAAAGCTTTTTAGAAAATCCATTAAAGTTGAAGGTGACTCGGGAAGTCCCTACCCCCGTATCATTCTTGAGTTACATTGGTCCTGTGGCCGTGGAGTTGTGCATTCAGTGTGTAAAAACGCTTGGCTTGGAGCCACAAGAGAATTCCTGAAAGAATTAGAAGAGGAAGGAGGTAGGGAGAAAAATGCTGGAATTCTACAAGTGTGAAGTCCTGGGATCTGTCTCCGCTGCACATCAGTAGTCTAGCAATACTCCGAAATGTTTGAGAAAATAGTGTTTCTCCTCCTTGAGATGGTAGAGGAAGGAAACACTGTTGCCCCTGGGTGTTTCCCTCCTGAAAGTTTCTGTAGAAATTGGTCTGCTTTCTCTTCACCAATCTTTGTATCTTTATAATACTCAGTTAGCTACTGTTCCATTTTCACTGAAGACACATCTTTTTTTTTTAAAAGATTTTGGTTTTAAATGACTTCTCTTCCCTGGGGAAGGTGAAAGCCCTTTGTTGTAAGCTTTTCTATTCTTGTGGCCTTTTGAGAAGACTGAATTCATAATACCCACTATTTTGCTTTCTGGTTTCCTACCAGCCCCCAAGAGCATGTGTGTGGCTGACCACAAAGAAATGCTTACTGCTTGGAGTTTTCTGCAAGCCTCTGCAGGCCACCTCCCGCCACACTCCTCGGACCTGACCATGGTGGTGACATTGAAAGAGTGAGATGAGTTAGTTGTGGGGTCATTTCATGGCTTTTGAGTACTTTTCCTTCAGAACAACTCTGAAATTGACAGTTACTCATCTGTGGTTACGTGAAAGCCTGCTTTTAGAAGGCTTTCATTTTTGTTACCTTTCGATCTGGGCGGCAGTAGCATTAATGACCCTTCATTTCACAAAATGAGTCATTGGTGAAAAGTTTAATTTAGGACTAAACTTTTAAAAGGTTCAGAATCATGGTCTACTGTCTGTTTTCTGCCTTTTGCTTTTTAAAGTAACCAGTATTTTACACAATATAAGATCTGGAAAATGTGCAGTGTGAGAAGTGTCCTCTGACCCTGCCAACCTATTTTTCCTCTCTGGAGGGAGCCAGCGTCGGCAGTTCCCTGTGTATCCTCGCAGAAGTAATGCAGGCTTGTTGTTGGGGACCCTTGGGTTGATTCCGTCGCATCACGACCAGGTAGGATGCAGTAGATGTGCCCCGTAGGGCTTTTCAGATAAAAATCTTTATGGGAACAGATTACCAGGCCTTTTTTCCCCCCTAGCAGAGCTACTAGTGGTTTTGAACTGCTGATGTTTTAGTAAGCAGCAGCACATAGGATTTACCCATTGTGCCACTAAGACTTCTTAATTTGATCGTAGATAGGGAGTCGGGGGTTTGTTTTTTCTCTTTGTATACAAATCATTATACGTGATGTTTTACCTTTCCATATCCGTGTATAAAAAGACCATCAAGAGCCTGCATTATGCAGATGACATGACCTTGCTCACTGAAACTGAGGAGGACTTAAAGTGCTTGTTGCAGAAGATCAAGGACTGCAGTCTTTGACATGTATTGCATCTAAACATCAGGAAAACACTGGGCCAGAGGATAGCATGTGATAGATGGAGAAAAATTGAAGGTGTTAACAGATCCACAATCAACATTCTTGGCACCCCTACTCAGGAAATCAAAAGATAAGTTGCATTGTGAAAATCTACTGTCAAGGACCTCTCCAGAGTACTGAAGAGCAATGATGTCAGTCTAAAGACTAAGGTGCTCCTGATCCAAACCATCATCTTCTAAATTTCTTGTTATGCATTTGAGAACTGGAGTGACTAAGGATGACAAAAGAAGAACCAATCAATGCCTTTGAACTGTGGTGCTAGATAAGAGTATCAGACATACCATGGACTGCCAAGAAAACAAGCAGGTCTGTCCTAGAGAGGGTAGAACCAGGTCGTGCCTTAGAGGCGAGTATTTTGAAATTCCATCTCATAAACTTTGGGCATAAAGTCACAGTGACGAAGTTGTCTTGTTAAAAACCCTTTGTCGTTGAAAAAGAACGACAGACTTGCCTGTTGCTGACCCCACCCTTCTGGCGATGTGCACTGGGAATCTTGTGTGTAAAATTAGTTGATGATAGTTACAGTGACTTGTGGTTAAGCCCAGGACGGGACAAGTGGAAAGGGCTAAGGAAAATGTTAAAGCCAGAAAGGAAGACTCTTCATGTTCATGGCTTCTCTCTGCACTGCCTCAGCATAATGTCTCATAGATGTAGAAAGAAACATGTATTCAGGCATGTCCTGGGGGTGAGGAGTACGCTGTGACTTTTCACATATAACTAATGTCGTCTTCACAACAGACATTCATGATTATGTGTAGTAATCTCTGTGGATGGTGAGGAGGGTCACACACGTGGCGTTTGGTGTTTTGCCTTATTCCTGACCCCACTCTCCCTCTGTACACACGTAATGTGATGATAGAGTGGACTTGGTCCTTCTGCCACCACCGCTCCGCTTCTGGATAACCAGGGTCACGATGTGGCAGTTGATCAGTCTTTCACCACTCTCCTCCTCTGCCTCTGTACACATGTAATGTCATGGTTAGATCCTGGCTGCCTCTCTCCCTAGCTTGCCAAATTAGGGTCTTTCTAGCTATCTTCTCCTGCCTGACCCTTCACACTGCAGGTAAAGTAGGGCGGATAACCAGTGATGGAGAGGATGCTTGCTGATAGATGGACTGGAAAACAAATACACCTGCATGTGAAGGAAATTACTTCTTGATTGAGGGCTCCCTAAACTTCTCAGGGATCTGGCTCTGCTGATCATCTCTTGCCATGAGTCCTCATTGCTACAGTGGGTTTCCTCATGCTATTGGGGTGTCATGGTCAGCACACTACACCGTCCATCAGTCATCGTCTTGCTTTCTGTTACTCCCCAGCAATCAACGCTTCTCCATTCCCCTTTGGTTTCCCTAAGGCTCTCTTCTGGATTGCTGGTCCATCTCCTTCTCTGTAGGCTTATGGTACCATGTGAGGGTCAAAGAAATCCAAGCCAGGTTAAGTGAGATGATGACTATGAAGCCCTATCCAGAGCTGGCTAGGTGATAAATGCTCCATGAGAACTGCAGACATGGCCAAGTTGGCACCATCTCTTGGAAACCTTATACATAACGGCCTACAGCATTCCCCAGTCCGGGACCTTATTACTGGTACGGTGGAGGTCTGTTGGTGTGCCTGGTGTCTGTTCACCTCATGAAAGATCCCTCATTTTTCCTAATCTTCTCCTGCCATGATGTCCTTTTCTATCTGTTGGTCTTTCTTGGTGATATGTCCAGAATCAAAGATCTGAAAGTGTCACCATTTTCAATTGTAGGAGCATTCTGCTGTATTTCTTCTAAGACTGGTTTCTTGGCTCTTTTGAAGTCCACAGTGTGTTCAGTGGTCTTTGCTGCCACCACAGTTTGAACTCAACACTTTGATCCCTGTGGCTCGAACAGTGGGCACTAGCTGGTTTCATTGTTATTGATGCCCTTTTTTAAAACTGTCTCTTATCTTGTGTTTACTTTGCATTTCAGCTCCAGGGTCTGAGCCACAATGTCATCTTCACCTTGGATTCCTTGTTAAAAGGAGACCTAAAGGGAGTCAAAGGAGTAAGTGTTCAGAAATTCTATTTCACTTTAACTTAAAAGAATTGATTTCTCCCCCCACCTCCTTTTAAGATCATAGTATTTTCTTTAAAAGGCACTCTGAATATTTTTTTTGGGGGGGAAAGTATTTGGAAGTGATTGATCAAAGATGTACCACTTCACATAATGTTATTGACAGAAGAACAAGATGAAAAGCTTGCTGGAAGACTGGTGGTTGGGAAGCTTGGGGTGTGAGGAAGGGTCTCCATGCAGTTCTGGGCTTTGTAGTGATTTCCTGACTATGGGCTGGGCTCTCAGAGCCTCCACCTGGTTCATCAACAGAACAGGACTACACTCCTTGTTACCATGTGTAGTAGTGCATGTATAATGTATTGTTGTTGTTATGTACCATCAACTTGGAGCCGACCCGTAGCTTACCATCCAGCAGGCTTTCAGAGGCAGTAAATCACACGGGAAGAGATTGCCTGTCTTTCTCCTGCAGGGTAGCTCGTCAGTTCAAACCATATACCTTTGTACCTTTACTTCATCAGCACAGTTCCTTCCCACGGAGCCATCAGACCTCCCTATGGATAATGTGTGGAACATACGTAATAATATTTTGATTAAGATACTACAGTAATACCCCCTGTTCCATGGTTTCCATGACCCACGATCAACCCAGTGCCTAGATGGAAATATTTTAAGTTCTGCACTGACCTGAGTAGCATGATGAAATCTTGTGTTGACCCACACAATCCCAGAGCCAGCTTCCTTCACCTTTACCAGATGTGTTAACACTGTTTTCTTGCCTGCCCCCACTCCCCGTATGTGTTGTATGAATAGAGAAAACATAGTAAATCTAGAGTTCAGTATTCACTGGTGGTCTAAGAACATGTCCCCACAGATAACGGTGCTACTATAGCCCAGAATCATTCCATAACCTTAAGCAAAATTAAACAGAATTTTTAATTCTTTTTCTTTTCTAAGGATCTCAAGAAGCCATTTGACAAAGCGTGGAAAGATTATGAGACAAAGTTGTAAGTGTTTTTATTTTGCTTAAGTCTGTTTTTTAAGGTAGTTGTAAGGATTTCACACTTTATGCTACCACCCCATTATTTCTCTATCCTTTTTGGTCTAAAAAAGTTAGTACAGTGTAGTCAGTGTTTATGTTTTCATAAATGTGTAAATATACCTACTCCTCTCTTTTATCACCTATCTCATTAGCCTGTGTTTTGCATATTAATGACATACATCTAGCAGTAGCGAATATCAAGGTTGCCAGGTGAGTAATGCTGGCCGTGACGTGGAGGTCACGGTCCGTTTGACCGAACCGTGGTTGTCAGTTATGAAATGACATCCCCCCCTCCACTGTCCACATATCACATTGATTGGCACTAATAGCCTGGTCTTTGAAACCTGACCATGTCATTGAGTGAGGAGTAAGTTGACAACCCAAATGATATATAAAGATTGGACTTCTGTTCTTTTCTTAGGTGAAATTGCCATATTTCTTCACTTACTTAATTTTATGTGGCTCTCAAATGATTTTTTTTTTCTCTAACAGATAATCAAACAGCTGTCAACAGTATTTGTTGAGAAAATGCCCTGTACATGTCATCAGATGGTTATGTGTCTTTTACCATTACCTGAGTGGTCAGTTCCTTCTTTCTCTCCCAGGAGCTTCCTTCCAGAGCTCGGTAGATCAGCAGTTCCCTCTCTTGATGGTAGATTGTATTTATTCCTCTTTTCTGGTCCAGGCCCAGCTTTTGCTTGGACACTTCCTTCAGGGGCTTCTAGGAAACAGCTGTAAAGGTCTCAGAATGTCCGGAATATGCATTCTGTCACCACACAAATGAGAATCTGACTAACAAGAGAAGCATTTTCTCAAAATGCTGAGGTGGTTCCAGAATTTCTTCCGCTGCTTATGAAACAGCTGATCCTTTTCTGATTCTCATTTCTTTATGACTTTTTTTGGAAGAAGAAGATTTTTTTTCCAGTAAAAAATATTTCCTGTCTTGTTTACAACAGAATCTGTGACGTCTCTGTATGTGCCCTGGTACATTGACCTTTCACAGGTGCTTTTGAGACCTGGGAAATGTTCTTCTAATGCCTGGTCTGTTGCTGTCACTCTTCCCTAACTCCTCTTTCTAAGTCTGTTGTATAGAACTGAACTTCTAGATTGTTCTAAAATCGTCTTTTCTTTCTGTTCTGTCATGTTTTCTATTTTTTAGATTATTCAGTGTTTCCACCCATTTTTTCTTCACTGTTTTCCACTGTTATTTTAGCTAACTTTTTTAGTTTTGACAGTCATGTTTTAAATTTCTCTAAGTTCCTTTTCTCAATCGGATTTTTTTTGTCTTGTTTTGTTTTGATGTGTTGTGGTTGTTTTCCTTTGTTGTAGTAATTTCTTTTTTCCAAAGATAAAATATTTCCAGCCTCTGAGGATTCAGTTATATTTTATTTACAATGTATCTGCTTGCTTCCTTGTCTCTCTCTGTCTGTTCTTGGTTCCTGCCTGGACCAGCCATCTGCATTTCCAGTTAGAGCGCTTGAAATATCTGGTGCGTGAGCACCGTTTGTCGCACAGAGAGCACTCCTTTAGGTTTGGGGTGCCAGAGTCCAGAGGTCTGTCTTCTAGACTGTTAGTCCTTCTGCCCCACATGGTGATTGTAGATGGTGGTTTTCTGAACTCTGGCTGCAGGGAGAGGTGTGGAGGCCCACACTGCAGGGTAAAGGTTCTCTCTCACTCTTCCAGTCCTGTTCTTCAAAATAATTTCTTAAATTCTCTCATCCCTTTTTGTATCCAGCTCTTCTCAGCTTTGGGATTTGGTGTTTTATTTTTAAAGAAAGCTGAGGTTTACTATCTTTCTGGTAAAATCTCTGCCATTTTACAGCATTGGCTGCCAGGCTGTCAGGATTAAAGAGTTACTTACAGAGAGTATTAGAGTGAATCTCAGCCAGGGTTGTGGTACATTGGCCATTGGGCTCATGGGTTGGATTTCCCATGACATTTGTCTATGTACAGGGATACTCTAGCTTTCTTTGTAATTTATTTTTCCCTACTAACACCACTTAAAAGATGATTTGAAGGCCAAATCAAGTCATCTTTGCATTCAGAGTTAGAAATTACAGACATTTTTTGAAAGTTAAATGGACTTTTGGAATGAGGACTGTGATTATTTGTGCTGTTACCAGAGTGTCAGCTGTTAAAGACAATAGCAGCCTGGCGTGTACTTGCTCCTCGTGTACACGCTCATCGTAAGCCTTGTTCCTTATTTTCCTGATTCCTTCTGGTGCCTTCTCCGACTGATGAAGGTTTCCATGGATTCCAAATTATACCTCGGGATCTCTTTTAATCTTTATTTTGTACAGTCTAATGCCAAGTGGCTGAATGGTTTCAGTGTGTTATTGGGATTTAGAAATTGCCCAAGCTTGGAGGAATATTCTCAATTACCTTTAATTAGTTCTTATGCATTTCTATAAAAAAGACCATTAAATAGCATAATGGTCTTCGAAAAGTTCTAATTCTCACAGTGTGTATGTTACAAGGAAATATCTTGAGATTCCTCAGCCTTATAGCTTCGAAATCAAGGGAAGGTAAATTATCAAATTGTCTCCTTGCCAACCAAAATGTAAAAGAATTGATGTGAATCAACCCAAGTGTGAGATCAAAGTGAAGATGTAAGACGTTTCCCAAACCAAAATCCGTACAAGTTCTCTTTGAACTGGGTGCGATGTTTGCTTCTGCCTGATGCTACCCAGCATTCTTAGCTGTAATAATTAAGAACTAGACAAATTCCTGGGTGATGCAGACAGTTAACTTACTTGGCTGCCGACCAGAGATTGGAGGTTCAGCTCCACCCAGCATCATCTCAGAAGAGACGATTGAGCAGTAGGTTCCCAGTAAGTCAGCATTGAAGACGCCGTGGGCTCTGGAGACTCGGGCTCAGCCCCTCGTGTTGGCTCCAGCCCGGAGCGACCTTCCCTCAGGCTGTGCATCGCAGCAGCGGCGGGGAGACGTTGCCGCCTCTTTCTCCCAGAGCCACATGCTCACAAGACCATCAGGTCGCGTCTACAGCAACTGCTTTAGTTGTTAAGTGGTTTAAGTTGTTAAAGGAAAAGAGATGTGCGCCTTTTTGTTGTTGGTTGCTGGCTCAGTGATGACGTCTCGGTTCGTTACAGCACAAAAATCGAGAAGGAGAAGAGAGAGCACGCCAAGCAGCACGGGATGATCCGTACGGAGATCACGGGGGCTGAGATCGCGGAGGAGATGGAGAAGGAGAGGCGCCTCTTCCAGCTGCAAATGTGTGAAGTAAGAACCAGCCCTGCAGATACGTTCCTGGCGTTTCCCTCTGTAACCTCCTGCTAGACCCCGGTTTTTCTAGATTAAGAGCTGGCCATGAGGGGACATTTTCTTAAGGAATCTAATCTCCTTTTTCTCCAAGCCTTTTGGGATCCGCCATTTGACTGGTGTCTCATTATGAGCTTTGGTACTGTGGGGCTCCTTAAGCCCAAACAGGAGTCTTTGGTGAGCACTTTAATACTGCTTGTGAGTGATCACTGGGGGGATAAATTGATGGGAATAACATTGGTGAATCGTAAAATTTTACTGGTATAAGTTCTGAGCATGTTTTTTTAACCATATGCTCAATTTGAATGGAAGCTCAATGAAATTGTCATTTCAGAAGTCTGAATTCATGGGGGGAAAGCTGTGGAAGCATGTGCCTTAAAGCTAGACCTGCCTGTGCTTCTCAAACTTGGTTCCGTCGAACACTAGCACTCCTTGACCAAGATACCAGTAGGTTCTGACTGGGCCGTTAAGGAGTGAATTCCTTTTGCAGCTTTCAGAGAAAATGAAAGTGGAGACAGTTTCCCTTACCTGCTGGTGAACACTTGCACACAGTGAAACAAGTGGACACCACAAGCAGTGCCATCAGAAAATCTTGACCGCAAAAACTTTGTTAACCACATAAATTGATGAAAACACAAATTGGTTCTTTGTAATTTGATCTTTCCTTAATAAGCAGCGAAAATTCTTTTTAAAGAAGTTTTGCCATTAGGGAGCTCTGGTGACCTAGTGGCAAGAAGCTGCACTGCAATCCCAGAGAAGCAGTTCGAATCCACCAGATGCTGTGCTGGAGAAGGAGGGACAATATCCTCCTGTACCAGTCAGATCCGATTTGACAGTACAATCACAAAAAAATTTTTTTTTTAAAAAAAAAAAGGTATTTTGCAGAAACCTGAAAATTTCGTATCCTAAGATAAAGGGAATATTGTTCTAGTGGAACAGGCCACCTTCATGTCTTTTACTCTGTGAACTGTGAGTTTGAGACCCACTGCGCCAGGGGAAATCAAGTCAGCCGTTCTAAAATGTTTTGCAGTGTTTTACTTTTGCCTGTCGAGAAAGCGCATCAGAAAACTTGATGCGGTGCTAACATTCTAACAGAGCCCTTCATCTTACACACATTGTGATCGTGCTGAGTCAGCGTTGTGTAGATGACGCCCACCTGCTCTCGAGGTCACCTGAGACACATCAACTTGTGCTGATGCACCACTGATGTTCAGAGAACCCCGTGTGTAATTAGCGACATAAAGTTACTTTTTTTTTTTTTTATTTCCACAGTATCTCATTAAAGTTAATGAAATCAAGACCAAAAAAGGCGTGGACCTGCTGCAGAATCTTATCAAGTATTATCATGCACAATGCAAGTAAGTAGGATACTACAGTCCTTGTTCACATCAAGAACTCACACTAGGCAGCTTGTAGACTGATCGGAAATAGCATCTTGCAAGCTCTCCCCTGGACCGGACAGTCTGTGAGCTCAGTGCATGTGCATTGACTCCCCATCACCGAAGTGCCTTCCTGGTGGCCCCCTCTCCTCCAGTCTCCTTTCTTCGTCATTTTACCTGTTGTTGGATTATTTGCATTCCCACCTGGAGTTATTTTTCATCATTTCAGTGGAGTGAAATACTCTGGGCGTTAACGTGCGTTTCACAGTCACAGCAGGCTTCCCGTGTAGCTGGAGTTGGCTTGTGAGGCCTGCATCATTCTGCACCGGCACCGTTTTACTTCGCAGTGTGACCTTTGTATGATGCCTGGATTTCTGTGGCATCCTCTTTGCTGATTGCTTTATTGCTGGTTTAACTTTGATTTCCTCATTGGTTTAAACTTTCCTTTGTTTTCTGATAAAGTCTTTGTGTGAAAATGTGCCAGTTACTATTAAAGTCTGTGTTCTTTGGTAGAAGTCCTGGGGAAATAGTGCCAGGACCTTCTAGAGTGATCCAGAGAACTCTAACATCCTTAACTGGAATAAGGTGAAGGCCGTGTGCACTAGACAAAAGTGTTTATTCTCTGTGATCATCACTCTAATTCTTTTAATAGCATGTATCTAGGAACATCTTTGTGTTTGACTGAAATATTTAAGGGAGTCAGCACTAACATTATAGAGAAAACGTAACACTTGAGACAGATCTGAGTTCAAATCCTGCCTCTGCAACTGAGCCACTTTTGTTAATTTATTTCTCTGAACGTCAGTATCCTCATCTGTCTGGTGTTTTGCAGCATAGCACCACCTCATAGGTTTAATGTGAAGATGAGAAATAAAACAAAGCCTGTGGCCTACTTAGCCCGGTACCTGCTAAAATGTACGTACTAATCTTAGGATGGCACTAAGACGCTCTAAAAATCAACCATTCATTCATTCATATCATTTATTTTCTAGGACCCTCTGCAGAAAAGAGTTTTTAAAGGTCAGGCTATTTTTAGAAGTTTTTTCATTTTTCTCTTTTCAAAGTAAATTCTATTTTGAACATGTTTAATAAATGGAAACAGCGTCCACATTTATAAAATAACATTTGACTACTAATGCCTTATCCTGATGCCTTATCCACTGACCTTTGGCCTCAAGAGGGGACAGTTAGGGAACCTTGGACTGTGAGTCTGCTAATTCCATTTTGGAGTCAAATTTTTGGCTAGTTAGTGCTTCCCCACCAGCACATCTTCAGGTGAAATTTTTAGTCTTTCATCGAGTTCTGGTCTTCTAAGAATATTTTATTGCTTTGGCACTTTCTACAGAAATAAGTGCAATTCTTTGTCTTTTCTGTCACAGTACTTGAGCAGCAAAGCTGTGTTTTACCAAATTTTGACAATTTCTTTTTACCTCTGGTTTTGTAAAGTTCTACTGTAGAGAAGAGGCTACTGTAGATCTTGACCTACAAAAACATGAGTTCTCCAAAATAGAAGGTGACTATAAAATATACAGATATTAGGCTTCACCAGTAAAGGCAAAGACGAAACAAAACCCCAGCAAATTGGCTGCAGCTGCTTCCTTTTGTTCTCTCTCTTTGTTTTACCTGTTCCTTAATATTTCTTAATGTCCTGGCAAAGACCAGACGTTTGTTGGGTTTTACCCTCAGTAGTTAATCATTGGATACAGAAAGTAATTCATATCCATCAGTAATTAGAATGGGGCTGGGCATTGGCAAGAGAACCATAGGGTACCCAGAGAGAGACTCCTGGTCAGGGAGATGAAGGGGGCTTTTTTGAGAAGCCAGAGCTCCTGGGATTGGATTTGAGGATGGATGGATGGATGGATGGATGGATGGATGGATGGATGGATAGATAGGTAGATAGAAAGGGGCTGTTGAAATCTGGCAGGAGAATCTCTTCTCAAGCCAGAGAGAAGGCGGTGGAAAGAAACCCTACTCAATCCAGTGGGGACCTGAAAAGATGGGATGTTTATTGGTGGACATGGATCAATGGTGATTCATTTTATTCCTGTGTATGCAATTGATACTGTGAAACACAATGAAAATAGAGGACTTCATGAAACAAAGTATATATTAATTTTTATGTGAATCAATATAAAAGAATTTTTTTAAAAAACTGCCACAAGAGGACAGGTATTCTAAGTTATTAAGTAGCAGAGCTGGATTATAACAGAATTAAACCATAAATTGACCCCAGGAAACAAGCCAAGAGTTTTTTCTTTCAGGGACTGGGTTGTTGTTTTTTCTACTTGGCAGTCAGTCTCTCAAAACTCTTGATGACTCTGTAGTGCACCTGAGACGCATCCTCTCCTTAGCGTTTATAATGAATACCTACCTAGCTCAGTCCCCAAAATGAAGTCAGTCAGTACAAATCCGGTGATGCTCGACGGTGAGTCTGCTCTGGTAAACCCTGCACAGTCGTAACACTCCAGAGTGGATGCCACTGCTGTGTGGAAACACAAAGGCAGCTGAAAAGGAAAGCTTTAGCTTTTTTACTAATTCCACCTCACCCAGATGAATGACTTCTTACTTTCAGATGTGTGAGCACTGTGGGTAATAAGTCATTTTCAAAACAAGCATATTACGCTACCCCTCGCACACACCTGTCACCCCTGGCACCAAGTCACATAATGCTCTCCACAGGAAAGCCCTCATAGGCTTCTTTTATCATCTTTGATTTTGCAGATAGTACCAATAGCTGACATTTACCATGAGCTGTCAAAGGCCAGTGTCTATTGGCTCTGCCTGAGTTTACTCATTCCATTTTCACAGTAATCAGGAAATTGAGGCTGACAAAGGCTTAGTAACTTCCCCACAGTCACATCCAGCCCTTTAGTAAATGCTCAGTAAGTGTTTGTCAAGATAGAAAAAGAAAACGGAAGCAAACAAAGGAAAACAACAGATACATTGGACTTAAAATTAAAGCCCATATAGTGTGTGTGGCAGGAAATATTTCCTTATCTGATTAAGCTTTGACTTTCAGAATTTATGAGGTACTCTTAAAACTCAGCAATTAAAAAAACCAAACAAACACAAACTTAACAATCAAGGGTAACAGAATTTTAGAGTGGGCAAAGGATTTAAGTAGATGTTTCCTAAGTAGATGCTGCTGTTAAGTACCGCCCAGTTGGCGCAGGCTCAGATCCAAACCTTGGCTGAACCTGAACCATCATCGTCTGTGTTACATGGAGTCACATTGTTGCAGGCACTCCTTGACTCCTTCTCTGCTTTGCTGGCCCCACTCGATAACATGCTCAGAGTACGTGAGCCTGCACATGACCATGGCAGGTACTCCCCAGCATTAATCATTAACCTGCTTCGATTACTCTAAGTTTTAAAAAGTGTAACCGCATACATTCTGGCAAAAATGTGGAGGAACTGGAATCCTCATACATTACTGATAAAAAGATAAACTTTAAAGAGTAATTTGGTGATTCCGCAAAAGACTAAAAATAGAGTGACCATATGATCATATAACATCTCAGAAATATAACCAGGAGAATTTTAAACATATATGTCCATGCAAAGTCTTATGTATAATTTTGTTCATAGTAGCATTATTCATAACAGTCAAGAAGAGGTAACAGCCCACATATCAACAGGGAAATGGGTTACCGCCTGATAATGGAATAGTATTCAGTCTTGGAAAGGAATGAAGCCTTTAGGCAAACTCCAACATTGGCGGACCTTTAAAACATCATGCTAGGTGAAAGTTATTGTTCAGTATTATTCAATTAGAACCAGACGCTCCAGAGGCAATAAATCACACGGGAAGAGATTGCCCATCTTCTGGTAAGTTCCAACCATCTCCTTTGGGTTGGCAGTACAGCTCCTTACCCACTAGACCGCCACCTTCCTCACGTGAAAGTTGTTGCTCGGCGCTGTCAAGTCCAATTCGTAGCAACCCTGTGAGCAGCAGATCTGAGCCCTGTCCTCTCCTGTGCCGTCCTCACAATCTCAGATGCACTCGAGCCCGCTGCAGTTACTGTAGCAGTCCTCCTAATTGAGGGTCTTCCTCTCCTTCACTGTCCCTCCACTTTTCCAAGCATGATGTCCTTTTCCAAGGAATAGCTTCTCCTGACAACCTAGTCAGAGTATACAAGACAAAGCTTCACCATTGTTGCCCTCAAGAAGCATGCAGGCTTCACCTTCTCCGAGGCACACCTGTTTGTTCTTTGGGAGTCCATAAGATATTGAGTACTCTTCTCCAGCACCACAGTTCAAAGGCACCGGTAGTTCTGTCATCCTTAGTCATTGTCCAGCTCTCAGGTGCATAGCAGGTGATTTGGAGATGCCCCTGACTGCAGACTTTCACAGAGTAATACATCTCCAGATCTCACTGCCTGTACCAGGAGTGTTGATTGTGGATACAAGTAAATGAAGCTGTTGACAGTTTCAGTCTTTTCTCTATCTATCATGATGTTGCCTATTGATCCAGTAGTGAGAATTTTTATATATGTTGAGATGCAATCCGTCTTGAAGGCCACACAGTCTTTGATCTTCTCCAGCAAGTGCTTCAAGTCCTCCTCACTCTCAGCAACCAGGATTGTGTCATCTGCATAATGAAGGATATTGATGAATCTTCCTCCAGTCCTGATGACTTTCATGGTTGGAACATGGACTGTATGAAGTGTGACTGTTAGGAAGCTGAAAGTTGTGAAATTGAAATGGCACACGTGAACATTGGCGTTCTGGGCATTGGTGAGCTGAGATGGGCTGCCTGTGGCCGCTTAGAACCAGACAATCACATGATGGGCTATACTAGGGATGAAAACAAGGAGAACAGTGCTGCATTCACAGTTAAAAAAAGACAACTTCACGTTCTGTCCTAAAGTACAATTTTTGAGTGGTAGGATATTATCCATGTACATACACATACAAGGAAAATCTGTTACTGTGACTATTATTCAAATGTGCACATTAATAGCTTAAGCCAATGA